GTCCTCGCTCTATGGTTGATCGTTGTCGCATCGATTCGGATCAACTCGGCTTTAAAGAAGATAAAGGCGTTAAGACACCCGAATAAAGCTTATTATCAATCTCGTGCTTGTTTAATAATACTAGACGCTTAAATGAAAAATGAACGAACCTTTCAAACGTAATTGTAAGAGACAATATGCTTGCAACCACATCTGCGTTATTAGATGGAATCAAAAGCAGAGAGCACCCCTCAAGAATTGATGAACGCCAAGAGCTTCTCTTCGTCGGTTTATCATAACGATCTTCCAATGGCCGGCCTATAGATATAAAATCTTTCACAAAATAGTGCTTAACATCTTTTTTCCCTTTATAAAAAAGCACTTAGAGAACATCCATGATATGAGAAATATCGTTATTATGTCTCTACCATTTGATGACAAATGCCTTAAGCATTTAGTACTAAGGCTTAATATTTATTTTCCATCATAAACTATATTCATTGACGTCAATTCATAGGCGCGTGTGGAGGGATAGGGTTGGGACGCCCTACAAGACACATGGAGTCGGTTCTTGCGCCTCGCGCCTCTGGCTATTGGTGCCAGACTTATCTGGGAGAATAGCAGTAGTGGCTTGATAGATCGATTGGCAACCGTGAATCATTGTAAAAGCCTGATATGCATTCAATCACCTCCAAACGATGCTGAACGAATGCATGGCGCATCCTCAAGTGACTGATCAACCCCGAGAGCTTTATCCTTTCAAATCTAGATTAAGTGGCTTTCTTGCTTGGAAATTTCTATCTTTTATTTTTTATTTTATATGTTTTGTTTTCACATCTACTGTGCCGATTCCAGCACTTCTAACACTCGATTCGTTTCCTCACACCCATTGTCCACAAAGACCTTTCAATTTTACATGTGGCTTCGGCTGCTGCTTGAGGATTTTCAGTTCATCTTGAATGTAGTAGAATGCTGGCTGAGCAATTCTGCCTGCAGTCCTGAGATAGCCAGGCTGGAGCACTCCCAATTAGAACGCAGAGGGTAATTTTTTTCCCAGACAAAGTCCGATACCAATTTCCCGACCCTGGAGGGATGAGTGGCTTGGTTGGGCCGAAGCGGAGTCGAACTACCCGCTGCTCATGATGAAGGACATCACTACCACTGTTCTATCTGCTTGAGAGTAAAATAATAATACAAATAAAATTGTTTAAAAGCTGGATATTCCTTCACTTTTTGATATAAAGGTGCAAGCAGTTTCAAAAATTCGCCCATAAATTCGCGCCTAGTTCAGCATCGCTGTGATGAATGTTTTTCGGTGAAATAGTAAGTGATTAAACTCTCACCATTGATCAACCACTGAGGGATGCGCTACGAATTCGATTTCGCTATGAATCATTAGTGATGATTGAATGCATATCTGGCCTATACAATGACTCGTGGTGGTCCATCGATAGATCGCGTCAGTGCTGCTATTCTCACAGACAGGCCTGGTACCAATTTGCCAACCCCGGGTGGATGGAAGGCTTGGTGAGCCTAGGGTGCGGTATCGAACCAACGTGTATTGATGGGCACCTGTAACCACTGCGCTCCAAGCGCCACCTTTGATGCCATACTGCAATAGAAGAAGCATCATGCCTTCTGGTAATGTTTACTTAGTTAAAGAACGGTTCGACAGTTCCACTTAGAAGATCTACTTAAAGTATGTTACTGCTAAGGATCGCTGTGCTTGTAATCGATCGCTACTTGCAAGGCGGCAGAGCTTTTTTTGATTTACGAACACTGATCACTTCGTGTGTTGGTGAGGAGAGAATGCACTTGGAGGCCAATCGATGAACTCCAGAGAGTAAACAATCCAAGAAAGAAGATACGATTTTTTAAGAGATTTGAGCCTTCGCTGCAGATATGGAAACGATTATTTGTTTTTAATTATTAATAGAAGAGATTCGGCTTCTACATCGTCCTTGAGCGGTTGGTTACTTTTACATTCCTACTTTCGTTTCTGATTTCCGTTTTAACATCTCTCCGAAATAATTAGTAGGAAGACCGAGCGAAGGATTCGTCGCCGAAAACACACCTTCCTCTGATCCATATCGTGGTGAATACCTGGATAAGCCCTTGCAAGGTTACGTCAGAACTCCAGAGAGGACCATGTTGCACGACCAGCAATAGGCCAGCCTCAGTACTACGCACACTTGGTGCTCCTGTCTATGACGTCATGCGGTGAGACGACTAGTGAGAGGTCAGAAAATTTCGGGCTACCCAGGACGTTATTGGAACCGGAATTGAAGAGCAAACCCATGACACGCCATGGTGGTTGCTTCTTACTATGCACATATAATGCCAGAACACTCTCCATAGACGCCGATCTTCACACCCTTCTTGTAGCCGCAGATCGAATTAAATTTCATGTGGTTGCATTACAAGAAAAAAAATCAAGAAGAGCGACATATGTCAACTAAACAACGGGACCCTTGTGATCCGTGGAGAAAAGGTCCCGTCACGAAATGTCGGTGGCGTAGGCTTTGTCGTCTCCACCCGTCCACTGTCCATCTCGTCAATTAATACGAGATCTTTTCCTCTCGCATAGCCGTCCTCCGTCTTCAACTGTCGCATCATAAGAAGATCACTATCATCAACTGCTACTCACCGACCAACGTAGCTGATGAGAACGAATTAAATGCGTTCTACTATCAGTTGGAGGAAGTCATCCGCAATGATGAAGCATATCATAAATTTGTTGTTGGAGACTTCAACGCCAAAATAAGAAAGGCCAACGAGAGCGAATGCAGGATCGGAAATTTTGGATTAGGAGGAAGAAATGAGAATAGGAACCGCCTCGCAGAACTCCTGTCAGCAGCACGTCTCTTCCATTGGAACTCGCTCTTCCAGAAGAAAGAAAGCCGTTGCTAGACATGGGAGTCTCCCAACGGCATGACTCATGCGGAGATCGACCATATTCTGACAAATAGAAGACGGTGCCTACTTGACACATCGGTAGTCCCGTCATTCTGTACTGGTTTCGATCACCGCCTTCTTCGCGCGAAGATTCGATTCAGCGGCAAGCTTGAAAAAAGGTCTCTTCATCTACCACGTGGAAAAAGTAGTTTAGCTGTATACGACGAAAACATTCTGAACGAAGTCCTGTCCAAACGTTATTGGCAGATTAAAGAAGACTTGATCGGAGACTACGAGCTGCTTGTCGAAGAAATGAAAAGTGTGCCGAATTAGCTTCAGTTCCTCAAGCAAGAAGATCGGATCGCATCTCCATCACTACTAAGGAGTTGCGCGGAAAGAGAAGGAAATTGAAGCTTGATCCTACTGCAACGCGTTTGAAACGGCTAGCAATTATTGTCAGATATAGAAGAGCTTTGCAGAAAGACCTATATAAGTGCGGCCAAAAAAAAACTACTAGACGCAAAGGAAAAAAGAAGCAGTCTGAAAAAATGCCGTCGAGGCTTGTGTGATTATAACGTTTCGCCGTCAGCCCTGATGAACGAAGATGGGATCGTCAAAACTTTCCGCTATTATGTGGAATTAATAGGAAAAACGTTCTACCCCAACCTTTTCCGTTCCACAATTTCCGTCTCGGACCCTAATATTCCCGCTGGAGAAAAACCACTTGGAATTCCTCCGTCGGAGGTTCGAGTTGCGATAGCATCAAAAGATGAACAGCTCCAGGACCCGGTAATATCACTGCGATTTCCTTACAGTTGGAAGCCACAAATTACATGTACTTCTCGCAGATCACATGACACGCAACCTTCGAAAGAAAAAAATTCCAGACCAGTGGAGGAAGTCACGCACGGTTATCCTGCCTGAGAAAGGAGGCCGAAGGATTCTTCGTAACTATCGTCCCATATGCTTGTTAAGTGTACTCTACAAGCTCTTCACGAAGATTATCCTCTAGCGCATATCATGGACATTTGATGAAGCACAACAAGTCGAGCAAGCAGGATTTCCAAAAAGATTTTACTGCATGGACCACATCCAAACCGTGTCCAGGGTCATCGAAGTTTGTCAGGAATACTACTTGCCTATATTCTTAACCTTTGTTGACTATGAAAAAGCGTTTGACAGTGTCGAAACGAATGCAATCCTATCAGCGCTCGTCGACCAAGGAGTGGACCCATCCTACATAAGGATTCTGTCCGATTGTGATCACAACTGCACTACGAAAATGCAGCTTTTCCATCAACCTCCAATAATACCCATAGGAAAAGGGGTTCGACAAGGCGACACAATATCGCCAAAGCTGTTCAGTGCCGCACTGCAGTGGATAATGAAGTCACTCGATTGGGATGAGAAGGGCATACGTATTGATGGAAAATTCCTATCAAGCCTTCGTATTGCCGACGACATTGTGATCTTCTCAGGAAGTAGTAGCGAAGCAGAGGCGGTGATCAACGAGCTCAACGAAGCGAGCAAAAAGACCGGACTTCGCATAAGTCGAAAAAAGAGCCAGTTTATGAAAACACATGATGAGAAGGTGAAAAAATTGAATTGGATGGCTCTTTTATTGCAGACAACGCCTCGTACGTTTACCTTGGGCGATCAATGAACATAGAAAACAACATGAACGAGGAACTAGATAGATGAAAGACAGCAGCTTGGGCCGCACTAGGGCCTCTCAAAGAAGCCACTGACCAACAGAAGGACCCGAAAATCCGCGCTCATCTCTTTTATTCTACGGTCCTCTCAGCGCTCTGTTATGCTGCAGAGACGTGGGTTGATACTTCAACTACGTCAAGAATGCTTGGAACTACTCACAGAGCGCTTGAGCGATGTCTTCTGAAATATAACCGGCACTCTCAATATGTAGCCGGAATTCGAAGCTCTGACCTTTAAAATCTGTCACATCTTCGATATCCAGGAGGTCATGCATCGACAGAAAAGAACAGTAGAGTGGACTCCAAGAGAATGCAAACGTCCCCTTGGACGGCCACCTACACGTTGGGCGGACGTGTTCGTAAACAAAGTTAATCAGCTGTACCCGCAGCTGCAATTGTTTTACAGATCACGGTATGAGAATCGCAAGCGCTACCATTCTCGAACAAGACTACCACCATGGACTACGATTGCGAGAGAAAGGAACGAATGGCATATGTGCTGGGGTCTGCACAGCTCGTGAAGGCGGACCGTTCAAGTATCCAAGTAAGTAATTATTAATAGATTGACGAAGTCGAACTAAACATCGTTAAAAAAAATTTGAGGTAGGCGGGAATTTGAAGTAGGTGGGGCGCGTGGATAAAAAAAGGAATGTGCAATGCTTTTGCTTTGGCTTTTGGCTTTGCGGCAATTTTTCTTTTCGGCCTCATGCTCTCAACAAAAGTCATGACTTCCATGATCGACTTTCTATAAACCTCGGCATTGGATTATAAGGAAGTAAACGCGTGCTGAATAACAACCTCGCTGTTGCTGAAAAAGGACGACACCAATGTCATGATTGTTGAGTTCGAAAGGGTGGCGAATATGAAGAACGATTTCTTTAAATCAACATGTGTTTATGTTGTTGAGCTTACACGAGGTTGATAAAGTTACTTATTCGGCGATACTCCACTGAGGGAGATCCAGCTCAATGTGCGACGAAGACGCCACCTCGAGAACACGAACAACTGCGGGCCATCCACTCGGATCAACGGCTCTGATGAAGACGAAACCGCCGAAACGCTAGCCGAATAAACATCTCTATCAACTTCTTCTAAGCCTAACAATATAAACACATGCTAATTATTACAGTACCAAGGTTAAATTACGGTCGGTTTCAAAATTGTTGCTAAAATTCAAAGAGAGCAAATAGTTGAATTCGCTTCGTTTTTTAACCCTGCAAGTGCCCGTCACCACAGTCATGTTTCATATATAAATTCAATAGTGTATGTGTGGTCGATTCGAAAAATTCGAAATTTTTTCGAAATTTGGAGTCAGCAAATGATCATTTACTTCCATGTGGTGGCGATATCTGACCGAAGTGGAAAACCAATCATATGAGAATGATGTCCGTCTTCGAACTTATCATACCGAGCATGTGTAGTTTTGTAAACAAGATGAACTCCACAAAACGCACATGCTCATTGGTTCCAGACCGCGTGCTGAGCTAGCCAAGCCCAATATCTCTCCCATATTGACCATTTGATGGATGACCTGCACGTTTGGACGATGAACCGTTTGGGCCATAGTAGAATAAAATCGATGGTCGGCAGGGTACCGCAAGTCATTCTATAGAGCAAACTTTCGTTTAATCACTTCTAGGATACAAGAAACGTTTCCGAACTCGTGATGCATCCTTAAGAGATTGAGCAGCTCCAAATGCTTGGTTTTCGGCTGTTTAATGACACCATTTATGTTTTGTTGTGTACGACAAAGGGCTTTTCTGAATTGCCGTTCCAACTAGCGTTGTCGTATTTTCTATTATATATGAATATTATGAATATATGGCTTATATGAATATTTTTCTGCGCTCGGTCATAATGCGAATATGACTGTTGTAGATTTATGGAGTATGTGGAGAATCTGATTGGTGCTCGAGCGTCATTTACTTCGGACGAACAGATACGGTATCTCGGCTGGGCGCTTCTTCTTCTATGGATGCTCTCCATTACCTATATGACACGAGAATTTTGGTAAGTGGAGAAAGCTACTCTTCAAATTCTACCTAGAAGAAAACTGATTGCATAAGAGTCATTATTAATTTATTCCTTTTATATTTAATTTATGTATCAACGACTACAAAGTGCTTACAAAATATTAAAGCTCCTCGAAAGACCGACTTTCTATAAACCTCGGCATAGATAGTTCTCTATCAATTTGATAGTATAATCGAATTTGCACATACTGTCGAGAACATCGCCTCGGAATTGTTTCACGCTCAGGTTTCCGGCCTCTTTCGATTCACGTCGTGTTGATAATCCGACGCCATCAACGGATGCGGCACGAATGTCGACGGTGGAAATGTATCAGCACGGCTCGGTATGTTTATGTAAGTTGATAGAATTGACCGTTTATTGCCTTCATTTCGATTTATTGTTTCGAAAAGGAAAAGCAAAAGAATAGTTTTGATGACAAAAAAAAGCGAAAAAAAGAGTGAATTCGACGCTTTCACTGGTCTTGCAGACCGTTTTTGTTTTCTCAACATAGACCTGGTATGTCTTAAAAGTCAGGGCGTGTATGAACTGGGTATTCATAGTAGTTGTTCTGTTGGCTGTCGTCATCATTTCTTCTCCTTTTATCACTGAGAAACAATCAGGTCTTCAAAATTGACAACGCCATTTTTCTAGACGATAATTAACCCATTTAACCGTTTGTTTCTCTAGTAAACTGCTATGATCGTCAGTTCGATTGCGATGTTCAGTTCTCGTTTACGAAAACTGTATAAAGGATAAAGTTCTCGACGCTGATCAATCCCTGAGGGATGCGCCATCCATTCGACTTCATTAAGCATCGTTAGGAGGTAACTGAATGCGTATCCGACCTTTACAATAATTTGCGGTGGTCTACGGATGTATCGAGACAGTGCTGCTATCCTCCCAGACGAGTCCGGTACTACTTATCCAGTCCAAAGAGATGGAACGCTTCTTGGGCCATTGGCACGGAGATCGATTCCACGTGCGTGTCGCAAGCCACTTCCGACCACTACGCTATACATGCCCTATTGAAAGCTGTATAAATTTAGCAAATTTCTGAAAGTTTCTGCTGCTAGGAAAAAACAGTCTTTTTTTTAAAAACATTCCAACAAGGTTTCGATTTTTGTAGATGGAAGTATAGTGCGCAGCGGAATGTTGACTATTACTGCCAGATTCAAAAACAACTAAAGAAAACGACCGATTAAACCGATAAGTGGAGAAAATAATGTAATATTTAAACAGGTGATTTTTTTTTCATCCGTTCCAAACTCATTCTATGTTTTCTCAGCCGCGATCTACGACTGTATGTCAATGAACTTGAAATAAAACCAAGCAGTGCCTAATGAGGGTGCATCGGTGGCATTCGTCAGAAATCCGAGTTGCTGGAGGCACAACACGACGGGACGTTCAGCTGCATCATACTTGTTTCCTGAGTGGTTCCGCCTTTCATACAAACCGGTTCTACGTCTCACTAAATTTATTTTGCTTCCATTTAATAGTGGACATTTCTGTGCGTTATAAATCTGGCGGCCTTTGATTTTACAATGAATAACTCATTCAAACGTAAAGAAACAATGGCAATGAAGAAAGGATTTTCATGAACAATCTGACTTAAATTTTTTTGGTTATAATTAAAGGTGCTTAACAGGAAACCATCATTTTTATTATCTATATCCCCCTTATTGTCACCTGAGCACCTTAATGGAATTCGCTCACTCGAAGAATACGAAAAGCCCAAGCTTCACTAACGAGGTCGTTTATACTATTCTTGCAAGGTTTGCGTATGAAACTATAGTGGATAACTCTTTGTGCTCATTTAAAGGAAAAGTTTACTTTAAGCGGAGCTTGTGAGAGAAAATCTCTAAATCCACAGTTTCACTGGTTCAGGTAAGGGAAACGTATCGCTGTACATTGCAATGAACACCTAACGCCTTGCTCTCTTAGTCACGAACACTATCGTATTCTATGCTGCGTTCCAAGCGTCATAACGACATAGTTCTTACGATTGCCTTATTGTAAATAAAATACTATAAAATACTTCCTAATGTGTCAAAATGAGAGCGAAATAAAGTCGCTCTAGATGAAACATTTCTAATGGATGAACGCGTTGTTTTAGTTATGCCTCGAATAAAGAGTGGCAAAATGGCACTGATCGTTAGAAGTGGCTAGAACTAGCTGAAAGGCAGACGAAACGAAGGGCCTGCACGGTGTGATGGTGAACGCGCCTCTGGGAAGGGTAATAAGTGTGTTCGCTCCTCACCGCAGACACCGGCGGTCCGAAGTTTTGCAAATATCTCAGCATCGTTCCAGTTGTGATGACGAAATTGTTCTCTTTCACTTTCTAATGAAAAGTCGCCCGTCTGGTACATATTATTATTATTTTCCTTTCTTAACTAGTTAGGCGATATTTGTAGAATCCTAATGAATATTGAAAATGAAGTAATTCGCCGGTGACCAAAAAGGAGAAGCCAGTGCAGATAACCCTGAAACTCTATTGGAAACCGTCCAAAACTTTTCAACCTGTGGAAAGACGAAAAAATGTTTGCATGAGGAAAAGTTTTTTTTTCATCCACAAACACTGAAGAACAAGCTGCGCGGCAGAATTGTAAAAAAGCTTCAGTACAAATTGGCCACGTCAGCTTCAACGGCATTACTAGAAGCTTGGAGCAGTTGCTTTCCAGTCCTATCGATCATCATAGCGAACATGGACACTAAAGCTATCGTCGACTCAGAAGTATGCAAATGATCAATGCCGTTGATGTAAACTGAGTAAAAAATATTTAAATAATTGTCGAAAATGTTGGCGTTGGCTGGAAAACCTCTTGTAGCCCAAGTCGCCTACACCTCCTAAAACAAACGTCAAGTGGTTAGTCGGACAACAAAACAATCCCGAAGAAGAAAAATTCTTACAAAATTACTCTTTACAAAAAGATTGCTGGTTCAAAAGTAATCACCTCATCTCTGCGTCGTTGATACTTTTTCAAGTGATGACGATTTCGTCAGCAAAACGAAATTCTGACAGGAACTTTCCACCAATAATTCTTTCTCATCCCAATCGAGTGACTTCACTACCCACTGTAGTGCGGCAGTGAACAGCTTTGGGGATATTGTGTCGCCTTATCTAACCCCTTTTCCTATGGGTATAGTATGAAAAATCTGGAAAGATGGAAAAGTTGCATCTTCGTAGTGCATTACAGAAAACGATCAGAAAGAGTTCTTATGTAGGGCGAACCAACCCCTTGGTCAACGAACGCTGATATGATTTCCTTGGTTTCGAGACTGGCTATGACAAGAGGATGATGATATTACCGACAGAATTTTTTGATCCGTGATACGGCTTGGATGTAGTTCATTCACCAAAATCTCCATCAAAATGCTGCTTGCTCAACTAGTTGCGCCCATTTAGTGTCCATTATATCCACGACAAGGTAATCCTCTTGAGAAGCTTATAGAGTAAACTGAACAAGCATATCGAACAGTAGTTATGAATATCCTTTCGGTTACCTTTCTTCGGTAGTATAACCGTGCGCGACGTCCGGCAATGGTCAGTGATTTTTCCCATTTCAAGGTAGGCATATGGTTTGCGAGAAGTATATATAAATTGTGGCTTCCAGTCCTAAGAAAGGTGATATCATCGGGTCGTGGATCTGTGCCCCTTTTCACGCTTTTTGGCGCAACTCAAACCTTCGTTAGGATAATTCCCGATGGTTTTTCAACAGCGGATATTTGAGGGTGCGTAACGAAGATTACACAACGGAAAAGTTAGACTAGAGCGTCTCCGTTATCAATTCCAAATGGTTACGGAGAGTTCTAGTGATCCCACTTTCGTTTATCAGGGTTGACAGCGGAACATTATAATCGCACAAGTTTCGACTATGTTTTTTAGACTGGTTCTTTTTTTGTGTTGCTTCCAATAAATTCTTCTGCTTGTGCCGATGTATATTTTCCTGCAACCTCTTCTACAGTTGACATCTTTTACTAGTCGTGTTGAACATGCTGCAGGGAGGGAGTGGGATCAAGCTTCAGTTTCTCTTCTCGAGAAACTAGTTTGGTAATAAAGATGCGATCCGATCTTTTTGCTTAAGGAAATTACGTTAATTCTGATAAACTTTTCAGTTCTTCGATTTTTCGACAAGCAGCTCGTAGCCTTCAGTCAGGTGCTTCCCTATCTGCCATTGTATGAGGAGAGGTTTTGTTGAGAATGTACAGGTCACAAACGGCCTGCTTTGTTTTTGTTGGACAATGGCAGGAATTCTTTTCCAACTTACTGCTGAATGGAATCTTAGCACGAAGAAGGCGGTGATTCAAACCAGTACAGAATGACGGAACTACCGATGTGGAAGTAGACACCACCTCCCATTTTTCAGAACATGGTCGATCTCCGCATGAATCGCGTCGTTTGGAGATTCCATGTCCAGCGGAGGCTCTTTCCTCTGGAAATTGATTTTCTATGGAAGAGGAGTGCTGCAAACAAAAGTATTGCTAGGTGGTTTCATTCTCTTTTCCCACTGCCAGTCTAAGAATTCTGATCTGTACTTGTTCTCGTTGGCCTTTTCTATTCTGGCATTGCAGCATTTGGCAAGAAAAAGGCTTATCAGTACGAATTGCTTTCTCTAACTGATCATAGGATTCATATAATTTATCCTCAGAGGCTTCATTGGTTGTTCAGTTAGAATTAATGATTATGATCTTCTTATGACGCGTCAGTTGAACACGGAGGGCGGCAACGTGAGGAAGAAGATCAGGTACGAGTTAGCGAGATGGATGACAATGCCCCATTGTTTAGCTGGCCTATTTCGATATTCGTGCTTTTTGTTTCTTGTAGGGCAATCACATGAAATTTGATGCGATCTATGGCTTCAAGAAGGGCATGAGGGTCAGTGTCTGTGGAGAGTATTTCAGTTTTATATGTGCAGAGTAAGAAACAATCTCTATGACTGTTGTTCTTGTGTTCGCAAAACTCCGGATCGCAGGTTTATGCGGTGGGGAATGAACGCGCTATTGTCCTCACCGGGGAGCAGCGCACTTCACCACCACACCATCCGCGTCTTTCGTTTTGCCTCTCTCTCAGCTAGTTCTAACGATCTTTTACCATCAGCAATCACCCATCAACGAAATTGATTTGGGGGGCCCAAATCGGCAACGAATCCAGTTAAGCTGAGCCCGCAAATATAATCACAATTTAACGTATTATTTAGTGCCTATTCTTTTTTAACGGCAGGGTATACGTTGTGAAATATAACTTCAAGTTAAATAGTTAGTTGAAGTTATATTTTACAATATATACCCTGCCGTTAAAAAGATTAGGCAGTAAATAATACGTTAAATTGTTCTAGTGTTCGTCAGATCCGGTTCCGGTGACGCACTGCGTAACCCGACATGTTGTTTTCTTTCACTTGTCGCCTCACCACCCAATGTCAGAGATTGAAGCACCCATTATACGGGGTACTGGAGCTGACCTCTTGCTGTTTGAGTAATTTGATCCTTTCTGGAGTCCTAATTTTATGGGCGTTTCCAGGCCTTCACCACGATCTGGTTTCGTGAGAAGTACCTTTTCGGCAGCGAATCCGTCGCTCGGTCTCTCTATTGGTTGATTTGGAGTTGTTGTTAAAACCGAAATTAACGACGAAATTAGGAATGAGAAATGACCGAACGCTCGATAACGCGACCTTTTCGCAGTAACGGGCACCTAACCGTCGAAAGAAAACAATGATCGTGTATCTACACGAAGTTGAATTTTTTTAAAGAATTATTGGACTTTAAAGGTCCCAGAAATCCGTGAATTCTCTTGGCCCTCCCGCCGGCTCTGACAACCGACCTCAATGGAGGCAGAACAACAACATGGATCACGTGTTTGATTCTTAGCTTCAGTGTGTGTTCTTAGTGTGCACTGCTTTGTCCTTGTGAAAAATCTTTCTTTCTCTTATTGAAGAGTTGCAACGAAATTTTCAAAAGCATCCTGGAGCACTTTCAAACTATGGCACGGACACCACTGACAGGCATCTGTTACTGCGCTATCAGCATTCAGAATGGCACACCGTGAAGTGCTCCAGAATTTGTTTATTTTGGTGAAATTGAGTTCAAAATGATACTGTCACTAACTAGCCACAAAGTTTAGTTATTAGGATAAGAATTTTGTTTCGCACACTAAGACCGCGCGTGGCGCAGTGGTCGGAAGCGTCCTACAACACACATATGGAATCGGCCTCGCACCCCTGGCCTACCAAACCTTCCATCCTTCCGGAGTCAGCAAATTGATACCAGACTTGTCTGGGAGGGTAGCAGCACTGGCACAATACATCGGTAGGCCACCGCAGATCATTGTGAAAGCCAGATATGCATCCAATCACCTCCAAACGCTGATTAATGAAGTCGAATGCATGGCGCACCCCTCAAAGATTGATCAACACCCAGAGCTTTATCCTTTTATTCCTTTTCAGTGTGACGACCCTATGTTCACTTTAAAGAATCAGTGACAGAACCCAGTTTCGGCGGACCCTTCTCTGAAACAGGTAGGCTTGTCGATCAACTTCGTAACTTAGCGAGTGACTTATTAGTGGGTTTCTAGGATTTCTTTTTGCTCAGGCTCCCTCTCTTACTCCTGCTTCTGTTTTTGCTTTTAATTTTGCTTTTGCTGCTTCTGCTGCGGCTTCTACTCTTGTTCTTGCTTATTCCTTTCTTCGTGTTTTTACTCTTGCTCCTGCTCCTCCTCCTGTGCCTACACTTGCTTGCACTGCCTTTCTTCGCGCCCTCCTTTACCTTCCTGGTTTTTCTTTTGTGTTCTTCTTATCTGATGTAGTAATCTTTACTTTTCGCTTCTCTTTGCTGTTTTCTCGACGAAAATGAAATGGTTGGTTTGGTGAATCTGCGTCGTGAACGTATCCAAGATCCTGAGTTCTTTAGAATAACCTTCCGCTGTACACTGTGGAATTCGTCAAGGTGCCACTGAAGGCTCATGTGAAGGATGCCGAATTGAACCGATTATTGAAATTTATTTTTTACTACGATGCTTTACAAAAATTAGTTGCTTTGTAGTTTCCATACTTTTCACAAACGAAAACAGCATAAGCCGTTCTAGTGGAAAGAAGAAATTTTCTTAACTAAGAATGTTCGAAAACTTTCGCCCTATTTAACCCAAACCAAATTTAACCGCTTCTAGGTTTTTGATCCTTCACTCTTAAAACTTGATACCTCTTTCTCACTTTTAAGAATCGGTATGTTCCAAAAAACGTTCCTTTTCAGTTTTTGCTTAAATCCAATTGATGTATAAAAAATTATCCTACTTCCATAGATCCTGTCAAAATTCCCATCATATTAAGGATTCAACAGCTTTATATGAAATATCTAATTCGAACAGATTCGTCAATGTGGATGTTTGCATTTTCGTTTCGATTCTTTAACTGTCGACTAAATTAATGAAATCGGTGACCTACGATGGATTAGAATTAAGCCCGAAATGCCACATGTCTGAGTGGCGCCCCACTGCATTGCGCCATTCGCCAATCCAATTATGTACTTATATGCTTTATATTTCTTTAATCTTTATTAAAACCAAGCAACTTTAATAACCCATTAAAAATTTGTTACATTTACTTTGCATAAAATGGTTAGTTTCTGTATGCTGGGAACATTGCCTTCAATAAAAGATCAACTTTTCTGGCAAGATTACTGTCATCGTTGGCTTTCTTGGCAATATTCTCGATTTTTTTTTCATTCTTCTTTTTTAGAATATCTAAAGGGCCGTAATTCAACCTTCCATCTTTCATTTGTACATCCGGTTTCGTGGCTTTCATTTGAGTCGAAAATTCTTCTAACTCGTTTCCATTTCTTAAAACGCTCCTGCAAATAGTTGTGACACTAGCTTATTTACATTAATTTAAGCTCATCGTTGAAACGACATAAAAATAGGCACTGGGAAGAACAGCCAATTTTGAACAAGCTACAGTAAGATCATTCGACAAGAAAGTCACACAACAACGGAAGACGGCAGGTATTTCGGCAACCCGGCACCCATGGCCCAGCAATCCTTCGATCTTTCCGGGGTAGGCAAATTGGTACCAGACTTGTCTGGCATCGGCATCACCGTCGGGTTTTCAGTTCCTCAACTTATGAAAGCAAACCTTCATCATTACGCAACGAATAAAGTTGTAAAAAATTTTTTAAAAGAAAATAAAAAGGTATAACATTGTGATTTCAACTACAGTCGCAGCTTAACTGGGTTCTATGCCGATTTGGGCGCCCCAGATCAATCCCGCTGACGGGTGATTGTTGTGGCAAAGATCGATAGAAATAGCTGAGAGACAGGCGGAACAAAGGACCCGCATGGTGTGGTGGTGAACGCGCTACTCCTCGGAAAGGACAATAGTGCGTTCGTTACCCACCATAGACGCCTGCGGTCCAGAGTTTTGCAAATATCTCAGCAACGTTGTCGTTAAGTTTTAGATTTCTAAGATGTATGGGTTTCCTAAGATGTAAGCACTAGGCTCACCAAGCCTGTCGTCCCTTCGGGGTCGGCAAATTGGTACCAGGTCCACCTTTTAATATTCAGTTTGTCGGAAAAGAAAGGCAAGAAAAGTGATTTATAGGCTCCAGAAGATCGAATTTTACGGTGATAGAACGAAAAAAAAGTCTTCATTTCGATTATAAAGACCACCACTTGCAGTTGAACCTTGGACGATTCACTCATGATGAACTCCAGCCACGTATGAGTCATATTTGACTCACGTTGTCCATGATGTATTAGCAGTTCCCTTCACTGCGCATGAGATACAATTCACTAAATCCGACCTTCACTTATGAAGTTGGCGTTGTCAGTGTTACCACACCTAGCGCTTTCTTAACACTAACCTCCTGGAGTACAATTATTTGTTGAGTACGAAGCGATTGACAACGATTATTCTTGCAGAGCACGAGAGAATAGAAAAGGAGAGGGTAAGAGAGGACCGATAGAATAAAAAGAATGAAAAAGAGATGAAGAGAGAAAGACAAGACGTCGATTATTGAGGTCCTAACGGCACGCTTAGAGTAAGGAGGTGTTACTACCCCATATGAGTCTTTTTATTCGTCCATCTCTGTGAAGAAGAAAGTAGGGAATAAAGGCAGCAAAAATGTTCACGACGATGCTTATATGTTTATGTCTAAGTCGGTTGTTTCTGTTTAGGAATGTTTATTCATGTTTTTTATTCAACATTTTGTACCAATGAGCTGTATAGAAACGATCTCTTGCTATAGTAGATTCTTCCGATAAAAAAACTTCTGTATTAAAACCTCTGTAAAAATTAAAAGAAGAAAGCGAACCCTTAGAGATGCACTATGAATTCTTCTGTATTCATAAGATCCTATAAGTGACCGAATGCGTAATAATGACTTTCAGGAGGTTTTCAGAGCTTCCATCCTCCTAGACAGACAACTTTGGTACCAATTTCCTTGCCCAGGATGGATAAGGGAAGCGCTTTCCCAGGTGGCAGATCGGGCCATGTACTATGTGTATATTCCAGGTCATCTATATCCACTGCGTCATGCGCGCCTGCGATAGGTTACACTTCTCTCTCGTCTTCTCCTATTTTTCTTAACTGTAGAGTGATTTCTACGCCACTTGTTGGTCTTCTCCTATTTTTCTTAACTGTAGAGTGATTTCTACGCCACTTGTTGAAAACGTGAAGTTATTGATTGGCACGGTTTCACTTCTAAAAACCGAATAGTACTTCATATAAACCTCGTGTTGGCTTAATAATCCGGGAAAACGCGGTTTTTGTTTTATCTCCTAAGTCCCTTTTCGCTATGTTGACGATCATTAATCAGTCAGAGGTCTGACGAAGAGCTGAACGAATACCTTACTGTATTCCTACCAGCTTCTCAATAGCATCTCTTTAGGTCCCCTAAAACCATAAGAACATTCAGTAGAAAAGGATAAAGGATAGAGTTCTTGGCGTGACCAATCTCTGTGAGGTACGCCATGCATACGACTTCATTAATCATCGTTTGGAGGTGATTGAATGCATATCTGGCCTTTACAATGACTCGCTGTGCCATACCAATGCATTGAGTCAATATTGCCATCCTACCAGACAGGTCCGTTCTTAATCTGATGACCCTGGAGGTATGGAACGTTTGGTGAGACGGGAGAGTGTGGATGGATCCCATGTGTGTTGCAGGGCGCCTTCGACCACTGCGCTACAGGCGCTCCATAACATTCGGTAGTAAAGAATTTCTAACAAAGAGAAGCACCTCTTTTTCTTCTTCTGTTCTCAATCAATATTTAATCAATCATATCTATTCAGTTAATATCTTGTTTTGTGCATTCAATTCGTGATCTGCAATATCTAAAGATAAAGCACACAGCCGAAGCGTCTTCGGTGATTTTGACGACAAATTCGCCTTCAGTCATAGTTCCTCGTCACATCCTATGCTCGAAACTCGTCTAGAACTATTTGTTCATCATAGAGAACATGAATGCGATTCACTGGACGGAAAGGTAAATAGAATGGCGTTGACAGCAACAACATCTTAGTAGTTGTTCTTTACTAAACCTAAACTCTACCACTACTATACTGTGGCTTTCTTTCTGTTTCTGTGCTAAATTCAGTACGAACACATTCTTTCTTTTAAGCGTTACAGTGATGGGTGCGTATGGCGTAGTGGTCAGAGGCGCTCTACATCACACACGTAGAATTGTGCCAATGTGTTCCCAGCGCCCATGGCCCACTAAGCCTTCCATCGCACCAGAGTCGGCAAATTGGTACCAGACTTGTCTGGGAGGATGCTAGCACTGGCTCCCTACATCGGTAGGCCACTGCGAGTCATCCTAGAAGCCAGATATGCATTCAATCACCTCCAACGATACTTAATGAAGTCGAATGCATGGCACATCTCTTAGGGATTGATCAACACTGAGATCTCTATCCTTTTTTTCTAAGTGTTACAATAATTTTTCGAGCCATTAAGCAGAAATGTATATGTGCTGTTCAGAAGTTCACAATGATTCGTTTCTACTTTAGATAGAACGACTATTTCCTTCTTCTTCTTACGAAACTTCTACCCAAGCTACAGTTTGTCCAATCACTACGATTCGTGCTTTTGTGCTTTACTTTCATCATTCTTTTCATCTACAAAAAAATCTACATTATGAGCACATATGTGATCAACGATAAGTCAGTCGTATTACTTCTCGTCATATAGTATTTTAGAGGCACCCATAGAGTAGTTCTTAGAGGTATCCTATGATCCACACAAAGTTGTTAGTTCTAATCCGCGCCCTGCCCAAAGCAAACCCCTCCATTCTTCGGAGTTATCAAATCGGTAACAAACTTATCAAGAAAGATAAAAGCACTCCTTCGATATATCGATAACTTCCATGTATGCTATCGTGTTGACGAAATACGTATTCAGTCATCAGTATGAATTCTACGGTGCTACGAATGGAATAGAATTCATGATGCGTCCTCATTTGATTGATTAACGCCAACGCTTTACACTTTGTTAACTGAACGTTTAATATGACTTCTGAGAAGTTAGCAGGAATTTGGAAACTTCTAGAAAACTTCGCTATCGATCGATTGGTATTAATCGGCTATGACCAGTAAAGCGTATCGCATAGGACTGGCTGCATCAGTCGCCATGTCCTCATACCCCAATATAGCGCCATGACGGATATTTCAGTGAAAATCCTTTGATAGTATCGTTTAAATCCGAGCAAGAAATCGGTTGTTGTTATAGCGACATTCCTCTGGTTGTTTGTTCTCTGTGTAGAACCGTGCAGAACGAGTGTCGTCCAGCACTAATCTTCATCGTAAGTACCTTCTGAACGAGCGCTTTGCACTGAGAAGGCAGAGTACCACAGATGTTGCATTTTTCGGCATTCTGGACAACAGCTCTGTAGGGCTTATGTAAGCTCACAGTGTTTCGTTAATTAGCGTTTACGCAATTTCTTGGATTCATTACGCTTTTCGTTCGTAAACATGGTTGGAGTTGCTTGAACAGAAAGGCGTGGAATTCTCGAACGTCCTTTTGACTCCTAAAATGGTCCTGTTTCTAAC